TTACTCATTTATAATAATATTTTTCTATAGCCCTACCAATATTTGTTTTGATAATTCTAATTTAATTCTTTTTAGCAGAGGTATAAGGATATTCCATATATAGGCTATAGATAAGTAGTTTGATTTACATTTTTGTGTGTGTGTGTATTTCAAACTTTTTCCTTTATTCACACTGTTTCATACAATCATTCCCATACATTGCTTTACAAAATTAAGGCTCATTGAATTACGCTTAAGAGAAATTCTTTCCCCCCCTTTTAACTTCTCATTTTTATTTTAGATCAGTTTCTGAACAAGTGTTCCATATAAAAAATTTTCATTTTTTAAATTTTTTTACATTTTCCTCCCTCCCCCTTACTTTTTTAAAAACTAGTTTATTTACAAAAGTCTAATACAAATTGGAACAAATTCTTTCAATATCCCTCGTCCCCACAACCCATCAGATTGTACAACCCAGTGATTAATCCCCTCTTCCCCCTGTACATCCACATCCCTCTTCTTCCAGCCTCTTCCACCCTTCTTGGATCCTTATACTCATTCTTCAATAACCGCCTTATACAATATTTATCCTTGTGGGACTGAGTTAATTCACTAAGCATAATGCTCTCTAGTCCCTCCTAAATTAGGTAATATTTACAAAGTTATTACTTCTGCATGCTATGACTTACATTTTTATTTAAGAAACTAAATATTTTTTTATATATTACCCATTTGTTTCTTTTTTCATGAATGGTCTCTTTGTCATCATCTTTTTATTTTTTCTTATGACAATAATTTTATCTGTTTCTTCCATTCCTACTGCCATTCTCATAGCTTAAACTTTTATTAGTCTATCTAAAGTACTATTAGATGAGTCATCTACTGCTACTCCTTGTCAACTCTCAATTCAAGGCTTTCTGAGCCAGTACTTTATTTTAGTAAAGTTTGCAAAAAGATTCATTTCATTCATACACATTTTCCTCCTTTTCCCTGCCCCTGGTTCCCTTTGTAATGCTTGTCCTATTTCAGGCTAATATTTTCCAATACTTTTATTACTGCTTCTATTAATATTTTTTCTGTGGTTTAAGTTGGCTCTGATACTTTTTTCCTTTAGAAATGTAATTTATAAAAAGAATAGAAAACTAATTGCTGTGGGACCTCTGGTGGCCTAGTGGCAAGAAGCTACCCTGCAATCCCAGAGGTACGAGGTTTGAATCCACCAGATGCCCTGCTGGAGAAGGAGGGGCATTCTCCTCCTGTACCAGTCACATACAGTTTGATGGTACACACGCACAAAATAATAATAATAAAAATAAACTTCACCTAATTGCTTTCACCTTTTTAATTTATATTGATCAATTATTAGTTTTATCAGTATTCTCTATCTTCTAAGAAGATTAGAACTTTTTTAAAAATTAATTTTAGTGAAAGTTTACAGAGACTTAGGGTTCCCATTCATTCATTGTTGCACTTTTCTCCCCGCTTCCCCTCACCCCCCCAATTTGCCCTTCTTTTTGAAAAGTAAAAGAAAAATTCCTTCATTGTTATACAAGCCCTCCCCCAAGTCCACTCCACTGTGTAGCCTTTGTTCTGGACTCCTGTCATGACAATAATACCTAATCATATATCCCTTTTAAACAGTTTTCTCCCTCATCTGTTTCAATGCAGTATACATTATTTATCCCCTCTTTCTCAGTCTTCCCTCAACCCTGATGTCAGTCCTGTTTTACAACAGTGGCCTTAAGCAATATTTGTCTTTTTGTGACTGAGATATTTCACTCAGCATAATGTCCTCCAGGATCACCCATTTTGTATACTATTTCATGAATTCCTTGTTTTTCAATGCAACATAGTATTCCATTGTGTGACTATACCAGAGCTTCTCTATCCATTCGTATGTTGATATGTTGATGGGCACTTGAGTTGTTTCCAACTCTTGGCTATTGTGAATGAAAATGAAAACTTTTTTTTTTTAATTTTTATTGTGTTATTTTTACGTGTACTGTCAAATCAGATCTGACTGGTACAGGAGCAGATTGCCCCCTCCTTCTCCAGCAGAGCGTCTGGTGGATTTGAACCGCTTACCTCTGGGATGGCAGTGCAGCATTTTGCCACTAGGCCACCAGAGCTCGAAAATGAAAACATTTTTAATGTGAGCTATTTTTATGTTTGCTCTCTGTCATTCCCTACTCACTTTCCTCTGTTCGATGGATGGTTTGGGCTTTTTTGGGGTTTTGTTTTTTTTCTTCAATGGATGTTTTATCTTTGAAAGTATGTGTCTTCTTTTGGACACCTCTGACATTCCAAGTTTAATATAATAAACTCTAAAAGAATGACTTTATAATTTAGTTTTCAGTGTGGACAGCAGATCAAGGAATTAAGAGCACAGCATGAAGAAAATATCAAAAAGTTGGCAGACCAGTTTTTGCAAGAACAAAAGGTAATTTTAAAAAAACACACTGGAAAAATATTGTTTTTGTACATAAATAATGTAATTTAGAAATGAAAGTATGTACTTTTATTATAAAATACTTGAGGGTTTTGGTGATTTATTTATTAAAGCACTTGGTTGATAACAGGTGTTTGTGGAAGAAAGATATGACAGTCTGCTTCTGGAAAGATGTATGAGAAGCTCTGTCTTGTAGAACTGCTGGGAATCAGAATTGACTTCAGTGGCAGTGAATTTGGCTTTGATTATCATCATATATTGATAAGAATTATTGTTGTTATGTGTCCTCAAGTCGCCTGTGACTTATAGCAACTCTATGTACACTAGCTCTGAACGCTGCTGCTCTATTCGGAACCAACATTATTGTCTCTGACACAACTACCCTCATTGCTCTAGTCACTGAGTCAAACCATCTCATCGAGGGTCTTCCCCTCCTGTGCTGTCCCTTCACCTTCCCAAGCATAATGTCCCTCTTTGAGGACTGGTACCGCCTTGCAACATGTGCAGAGTATGTCAGATGGAGCTTCAAAATCCTTGCCCCCAAGGAGCAGCCTGGTTTCTCAGTCTCTAGGACGAACCTGTTTGTTATTTTAATTCTTGTAATTTATTTTGAGCAATTATCTGACTTTGATGTTCATAGATTGTAAAAATGGGTAATATTTTACTGTATATCAATTATTTTGTGCACATTTGAGAAACTGGGAAAAAGGAAAAAATTTTCTTTAATTATTTAATTTATTTATTAATTATTTATTAATAATTTAACATAGATTATTTTTTAAAACAAATAAAATGCTAGCTGCCATACCAGTTTTCATTAGTATTCTTGGAGTTGGCAAGTTTTCTCAATATATATAATTAAATAGTTGTATATTATGGACCTTAGACGCACCTTAGTTCTCAAACTGACATCACTACTCCTCAATAATTTGAAACGGTCCCTAACTGCAGATTTTCCCAGTGCAATGCATCTCCTTATTTCCTGACTGCTTGTACCAATGGTATTAATTGTGGATCCAAGCAAGATGAAGCTGTTGACAGTTTCAGTCTCTCCTTCCCTCATGACACTGCCTATTGGTTCAGTGGTAAGAATCTTTGTTTTCTTAATATTGAGATGCAATCCATACTAAAGGCTCAATTCCTTGATCTTCTGCAACGAGTGCTTTCAGATCCTCACTTTCCGCAAGCAAGGTTATGTCATCTGCATCACACAAGTTACTGAAGAGTCTCCCTCCAATCCCGATGCCACACTCCTCTTCATAGAGTCCAGTTTCTCAGATAATTTTCTCAGCATATAGATTGAACAGGAATGGAGACAGAATACATCCCTAACACGCTCCCTTCCAGTCCATGTAGTGCTCCCCTGCTCGTTCACACAACAGCCTCCTGGTCCAAGTATAGGTTCCTTATGAGCACAATCAAGTGCTCTGGGATTCCCATTCTTTTCAATGTCAGCCACAACTTGTCATGATCCACATAGTTAACACCTTTGCATAGTCAATAAAGCACAAATAGCCATTCTTCTGGTATTTTGTACTTTCAGGCAGGATCCATCTGGCATCAGCAATGATGACTAAGAGCTTGATGACCTAACGAGGACTAAGGTGCAACTCGATGACACCTAACAACATATTATGGAAGCTCTGATAGAAATAGATTTATCTGAAGATTACTAGACATTGAAGACATGATTAATTTTCTGTACCCTTTAATCTTACTTGACTAGAGATGGTTTGAATTTTAAGTCTATCTAGCAGATTAAAGATGAAAAGTATTTATATTGCTTTTTGTTAGCATCTCACTTAAATGACTTACGGGGAACCTTAAAGAAACTTGGTTTTCTTTTCTTAGCTATCTCATTGTTTTGTTACATGATATTGAGGACATAATTTTCACTGTGTTTCATTTTTAAAATCTAAAAGCAAAATGACACTTATCTGCAATGTGCCTTGAAGAGATAGGAAAATGAGCTAGGTGGAGAAAGGCAGTCCTGAGTGAGCTACCATGGTAGGAACATTGAAGGCAACTAAACAATACCATGAAGACACTAGGAGTTAAAAGACTGGTAAAGCACAACATTAACGAATAGCATTGAACACACAGTTCACAGGTATGGCTTGATGCTGTCATGCTAGTATTGCTCTTGGAAGGAGCTTGGTATTGCCACATTCACTGCTTGGGGCATGTGCTGCGTCTTTAATGATTTCCTGCAAAACAAGTGCTGAACAATAGTTATACTTTTAGCTTTCCCACTCCAGCCCCAAACTCGTCAAAAAGCAAACATTTTCCTTGGCTTTCCTTCAGTTAGCATCAGTTATTAAGGTGAATCTTTCTTTAAAGTTAATTTCTGAAAAGCAGGGAGATACCTGTAAATAGTGGAGGTTTGATAGTAACTCATACCATCCTTGAAGGTAAAATAGAATTGTCCCATAGGATTTCCAAAGCTTTATGGAAGCAGGCTGCCCTATCATATTTCCATGGTGCTACTAGTAAGTTCACACTGCTAATCTTTTGGCTCACAGCGGAATGCTTTAACAACATCTGCTCCAGAGCTTCTTTTGTCTTCTATATGTTCTACTAGACATCTGACATATTTGTAATACACTCAAATACATATGTAGAAATATCTCTGTCAAACTTACATATGTTTGTGGGGGATTCCCAAATATGGATTCAGCTTAAATACCTACCTATATATCCACTCACAAATTATTGTTCTACTATTAATTGTAGGATTGTGTATGTGATAGTTTGTACCATTGTATCTACCATGATATGGTCCTCTTTAATACTTGCGTGCTTCCCTTTGCTTTGGTCTTGTTGTACTGACTTGCCCCTTGGTGTGTAATGCTTTTCTGTTCATTCAAAGTAATACATGTCTACCATCTGGTTAGTGACTTCCACCTACTCTCATTCATAGTAACTGTCAAAGAATATTTCTTTCTTTGCATAAACCTTTTCTTGACACTTTGTACTAGTGATCTCATGTTGTCTATCATTGACTTATTTCACTCTACATACCATCTTCCAAGTTCATCCATATTGTAAGGTGTTTTGTAGATTCATTATTCTATAATGCTGATAATACTCCGTTGTGTATATGTACCACAGTTTGTTTATCCATTCATCTGTTGATGGGCATTTGGATTGTTTCCATCTGTATACTACTATTGTGAATGATACTGCTGTGAACATGAATGTGCATATATCTGCTTGTTACTGGTTTAATTTCCCTCATACTGCGCTTGCTGGATCATATGGCATCTCTGTTTTTAACTTTTTAAGGAAGCAAGACTGTTTTCCACAGTAGTTTTCACAGTAGTTTTCTCATCTATCAATCCCACCAGCAGTGTATGTGTGTAAGACTTCTAAACTCTCCACACTAGTTTTGGTCATTGATACTATTGTCAGCGAGAGGACTAAAAAGAGCTCTGGTGACAAAGCTCACAGGGAGTTACACTGCTAACACAAAGCCCACACTTCTTTGCCAGTTTGAATCTATCAGTGCCTCTAAGCGAGAAAGAGAAGCAGTCTCCTCCCATGGGACTTAAGGTCTTGGAAATCCAATGGAGGGTCAGCTATGAGTCAGTTTCATTTCATCCTGTTTCGTTCCAGCCTCTGTTGAGAACCTACTACACAGCACATAGGATGATGTCCTTTAGAGGCTTTAACAAATGTGTTGGTTTTTTTTTTTTAGTATATGGTAAGAAAATTGGTTAAAAATAGTAATAATATGTCCAACTTTTCTACGTATTCAGTATTTGGATCCACATTTAATGATTATGTCAATGGTTTTAACGTTTTGAACTGGAAAATCTTTACTCTTACAAATCTTTATTGAACAGCAGGAGACCCACAAGATACAGTCAAATAATGGGAATGAATTGGGTGGAAATGATAATGAAGTATCTAAAGATATTCCAAAAGTGGCTGAGAATGCAGCAGATAAGAATGAAGAGCCCTCAAGCAACCACAGTCCACGTGGGAAAGGTATTGTTTTTCTTTAGTTAATAGAATTGATCTTTCCTCTCCATTTTTAAGTGAACATTTTAACCATAAAATTGATTAAATTTTAAATTCAGTCTGTTTTATTTAAAATTTGAGTCCTTTGACAGAAGAAAAATACTATTTTTGTTAAAATTCAACTTAGAAAAATATAACGATGTTCAGTCAGTGTAGCCTGTTTTTTTAGAAATTGATTGCTACATTCTTTAAACACATTAGTAATTTGTGTAAGGGAAAATATAGAATTTTTTTCCCCCTTACATAGACCAAACCAAGCGAGTTGGTGATGCTGGGATGCCTGGAATAGAGGAGAATGACCTTGCAAAAGCTGAAGATCTTCCAACTTGTAAGTAAATTCAGCCAAAGAAACCATAGAACCATTTTGTGTGTGTGTGTGTTGCTGTTGAGTCAAATAACCCACGCCTATCGTGCACCACCCTCATCATCTCTGATTCACTTAAGTTCATTGCCGCAGTAACTGTTAATTCATCTTGGTGAAAGTCTTCCTCTCTTTTGATGACCCTTCACTTTTCCAAACATGATGTCCCTCTCCAAAGGATAGCCTCTCCTGCTAACATGCCCAAAGTATGTGAGATTAAGTTTCACCATCTCTACTTCAAAGAACTTTCTGTTTGCACTTTTTCTAAAACATATTTGTTCTTTTGGCAGTCTGTGAGACATTCAGTACTTTTCTGCAGCACCACAGCTCAAAGACATCAGTTCTCTCATCCTTATTGTCCATTTCTCAGATGCATAGCAAATGATTGAAAAGACCATGCCTTGAATTAGGCACACCTTGGTCTTCAGACTAACATTACTACTTCTCAGTAATTTGGAGAGGTCCCTGACAGCAACTTGCCCAGTTCAATATATCTCCTGATGTTTCAAAGTACCACTTATCGAAAGTCACAGATAATTGGTATTGCTTGTTAATTACCCGTCAATTGCCAGGACTGTTTTGGATACAATTTTTAAAAAATTTTTCAAGTCATTCTGTAAACAGCCATGATCTTTAAATAAAGGATTTCTGATGCTGTTAAAAAAAAATTCTCTTCTAAAACTTCATGTTGTAATTTGTTTGAAAGTTTATGGAGCAAATTAGTTTTCCATTCAATAAATCATGTACATTATATTACGTATCGTTTATTACAATCTTCACATTATGATAATGCTTTTCCCACTTGCTGTTTTTCTCATTTGCACATCCTACTTTCCTTCACTTTCCTGCTTTCTAAGTTTTCTCCCTGCACAAATGCTAACATTTTGATCCTGCATGGTTAGTTGTTCTAAGGAGTGATTTCCTACCTAGTGATTTCCTTTCCTATTGATCCCTTGATAGGCTTGTCTGTTATTTGACTAGGAGAACTCTGGTGGCGCTGTGATAAGGAGTTATGCTCTCAACCAAAGGCACACAGGTCAAATGCCCCAGCTGCTCTGCATGAGAAAGATGGACAGTCTTCTCCTATGTGATTTACTACCTCAGAAAGCCTGCTAGAGGGTCAGGCTGTGAGTCAGCTCTGTCTCAATGACGCGTAGCAACAACAACATTGTTTGGTTGGAAATCGAGTCATATATGTAATTTCCGTTCCATATTTTGAAGAGTGAGTAAAGGCCATAATCTTGGGGATATCCACCTATCTAGTAAGCCTGGTCTTTTTTTATAATTTTTGGTTTTGTTTTTCATGTTTTTCTACTTTCAGAGTAGTCAGTGGGCAATGTCCAGTTCTTCAGATTGTCAAGATTGACATTCACATGATCTTTTAGTCCTTTGAACTAAGAATCTTTTAATTAACTCTTCTTTGTTCTGAATGAGGAGAAACCACTTTTGAAGACCACTTAAAAGGTTTTATGACACAAATCACTGCTCAACAAAGTGGGATATAGAACATTGTCTTTGTAGACTACATTATGCTAATTGACCTTATATCCCTAGTTGATGAAATTTTCTGCCAAAATGTTTACCATACTTTCTTTAGCTTGCTACAGTAAGTTAGTCATATTTTTACTTTATGGCTAAGTATTATTGCTTATGACAGTTGTACCATATTAGAATCATTTATCATTCATCATTCACTGCTTTTTTACTTACTGTTTACAGATTGCTGTGGCCTCTTGTCCTTAAATAAAACCAAACCCACTGCTCTCATACCAGTTCCAAGTCATAGTAACCTTCCATCAGTTTTCTGAGGCGAAAAAGCTTTACAAGAAGAAATTTCCCATCTTTCTTCTGCAGAGCTGGTGGATTTTAATTGCTTCCATGTCGGTTGTCAGCCTAACATGTTATGCACAGTGCTACTAAGGCTTTTTGTGCTTTAAAATGATATAACAATTACAGGGTATTATATTAGGGAGTTCTGAAGGTTTAGTAGTAAAGAATTTTGCTGCCAATGCAAAGCTATGTGTTTTGAATCCATCGGTTGCTCTGCAAGAGAAAGATGGCCGTTCTCCTATGCAATTTATTGTTTCTGAAATTTGCTGGAGGGTCAGTTCTGTGTTAATAGTACATAACAACTATTAGGTAAGGGATCTCTGGTGGCTTAGTCTATAGGGAGTTGTGCTGCTAACCCAAAGGTTGTACCTTTCTAATGACAGAATCCACCAGCAGCTCCGGGGGAGAAATACTGGCAGTGTCTTCCCATGTAACATACAGCTTTGGAAAGCTATTGAAGGGTCAGTTGTGAGTTGGTTTCAACTTGATAGCAATGAAAAAGACTGAGGTATTTTGTTTATTTAGGTTTTTAGGCCTTAATTTTTCCTTTCAGTGAATTATTTTACACTTTAAACTGTTTAATCAGAATTTCTCTTCTTGAATACCACTTGTGTTCAGTCCCTACCTCTTTACTTAATAGAGTGATCTTTTTATTTTTTTTGTGTGTGTGTACCATCAAATCAGGTCTGACTGGTACAAGAGGAAATTGCCCTTCTTCTCCAGTAGAGGATCTAGTGGAGCTTATTGCCACTAGGCCACTAGAGCTCCCTTATCCATTCTTACTTCAAGTTTACCTCTACTGTCCTCCTAGTCTCATCTGTCATTTTGTCTTCAAGTCTTTTTTTTTTTACTTTCTTGCCATTTGTTTGTTTGTAGACTCTTATAACCCCCTTCTCTACTTTGCCCTAATTTGTTATGCAGAAAAGTCAAATACAGTATATCTTTGCCTCTTCCTGACTATTTTATTCTTTTTCTGTCTTGGTGATTACTTGTGTATATAGTTAGTGTTGTTGTTGTTGTTGTGTACAGTTGAATTGGAACCAACCCATTGCTGATCCCTCAAGTGGATTTTTAGAGGCAGTTAATCACACTAGAGGAGATTGCACATTTTTGTCCTGCAGAGCAGCTTGTGGATTTGAACCACGTGCCTTCAAGGCTGCAGTGTAGCTTCTTGCCACTAGGACACCCATCTGAGTTTATAGTTAGTGTACATGGGAGAAATTACTGTGTCAGAGGTCCAAATAAATGTTGTATCAATTCTGTTACTTTTATAGTTTTGTTATATTTTCCATTTTTTTTCATATTTGTATTTTTATGTGGTTTCTATTCACAGTTTATACTCCTAAAATAAAAGTACGGACAAGATATTACTCAATTGGCCACTAAAGCTCTATTCAGGTTTTTAGCTATAGATTTTTGCCTTCAACTTGTTTAATGCTTTTAGATCTGTCATCAAGTTAATTGATGCCTTTTCTTAAAATGTATACTCTGCTGTTAAACTCATCCAGTGTATTTTTTATTTCAGTTAAAGATTCTATTTATTTACAGTTCTAAAATTTCTGCCTGATTTTCTGCTCCCCTCTTCCCCCACTCCCTTTTTTTTTTGTAGTTGTTGTTTCTATTTTTTGTGCCATGTCAACATTTATTTATGCTTTCACTCTTTGTTTCTGTTCTTCTCTCTCTCTTTTTTTTAATTTAGGTTGTTTATTTTTCATTTCAGTGAACATCTACAGAGATTTTGGGATTCCATTCATTCATTATTGCACCCTTCTCCCCGCACAAACCCCTCCCCCATCCCCAAATTTGCTCCTCTCCTTGAAAAGCAAAAGAAAAACTCCCTCATTGGTACACAATCCCCCCCCGCACCTCCCCAAACCCCACCCCGTACCCCCAAATATAATCTACTCTGCAACCCTCATTGCGTACTCCTACGATAAAAATAATGCCCTAAAATATAATACTTTTAGACTATTCTCTCCCCCATAGACTTCAATGCCGTAAACATATTTCATCCAGTTTTTCTCAGTCTGTTCTTCTCTTTATATATATATGGATGTAAACTAATGTTGGGTACCATCCAGTCAGTTCTGGCTCATAGTGACTCTTTGTATGGCAGGATGAAACACTGAAATACCATCTGGTCCTGCACCATCATCAGACTTCTTATCTACTAATTTCAACAAGTAGATTGCCTCTGTTACTATTGACATCTTTAAGTTAATCATAGTTTCCTGCATTCCCAGTAATTTTATTGTTTGCCTTGTGAATGATCCATTAAGGGATCTGGATTTTGTTGTTTGTTTTAAAAAGATACTGAGTTTTGTCCTATCAGTCAGTCTAATTACTGGTAGTTTTTCTTTATCCTATTAGACTTGATTTTATGCTTTGTTTAGCAGAAATAATTTTGAATTTTTTTTTTCTTACCCTTAGGGCATGACCCTTATTTTAAGATGTGACCATTGTTTTTAAAGTAGGAGCTTTGCAGCTTCTCAATATCTGAGATGCTCAGTGAAGATTCCAGATTTACTGGATAAGAGCTTCTTGGTCTTTGAGCACTGTACTCACTTCTTCTCATAGCCCTCAAATCAGAACCAACTAATAAGTGACCCTCTAGGAGATTTGCAGAGGCTGCACATAGCATGGACTGAGATTGTCCATTTTTCTCCCATGGCGCTGCTGGTGGATTCAAACTGCTTTGCCTTCTTCCTTCAGTACTGTTGGTTATTGATGATATGATTCATCCTGAAATTATGCAGCATTGATCAATTCTTTTTGGTATAATGACTCTGTATCACCATCTTTTGACACTTCTTGTGTCATTCAGCATTTTGCACATGGAATCCTTCATAATTGTGGTCCAAGGCTTGAATTTATGGTTGAAAAAAAATCATCTTTCCTTTTTTGCATTAATTTCTTAAGGAAGAGCAAAATCCTATCTCTTAAGTATATACATCTCTAAAAGTTCTATTTTCTTTCTTCAAAAAGAAAATCTCACTGTACTTGTAAATGTTGTTGAAATGTCAACATTTTGTTACATCCCAGCACAATTCTTTAATAAATGGAAAACTGATTACTTAACTATAAAGAAGATGGAGGCCCCCAAATAGTTAAAGTAATATTGAAAGAAAAAAAGCAGG